CCCCGTGGATTTCATGAATGCAAATAAATAAGTCATTTGATTTCTGTCTCTGTTTTGTTGCTGGGCCTTAAGGAGCTCCAGGGGCTATAATCAAGAAGTTCCACTTTCCTAAAACTAAAATGTTGGCCTGTTGACCAAAGGAAATCTGGCTCCACCACTCAGTAGAGATGCTAGGATGGGGACCCAGGGAGACAGCCTTGCTATAGGAGTAATGCTAACACCCCATATGGAAGTGTCCAATCTTTGGATCGAAGCCTATGTTGGGTTCTGCTATCTTCAATCTGGGCCTTTCCAGATCTATTTAACTTCAACGATGAGAACTCTGGCTTGGACTTCTGGAGGTTGAATAGCAACACATCTGCAGGGGACCAGAATGGAGAAAGATCCTGTTAAAATGGCATTCAACCATGTTATGAATATACCCTGGCAACCTTGTTCTTTTGCTGGGTCCCCATGACATTGCCTTCATCTCACCTTTAGCCATGACTGAAACAGGCTGAAGTCATCCTTGTGTGTGTGTCTGTGTGTGTGTGTGTGTGTGTGTGTGTGCCTGAATCAGTGTTCACTCCTGATAACTGCCTGGATAAGTCCCTGCAGTTGTCTTGGCAAGATTTTGGAAGTGATTTGCCCTCACCGCCCTCCTCCTCCTCCTCCTCCTCCTCCTTCTTCCTACGGCTGAGAGAAAGTGACTGGCCCAAAGTCCCCCAGCTGACTTTGTGCCTAAGGTGGGACTAGAACTCACTGTGTCCTGGTTTCTAGCCTGATGCCCTAACCACTAGATCAAGCTGGGTCTATCCTTGTTAGTACTGATATTAAAGTAGTGTTTCCCCATGAGGTCCATTGCAATCAGCAACAGTTTAAGGGTGAGGACAATCTGCTGTGCTTCTTCATCCATGTTGGCACTGGCATAGGCAGGTGACATGTAGGGGGCAGGATGAGCCCATCATCTATTGGTCATTCTGGAATGATGCTGTGCATGCCCCCTCCTCTGGGATCAGCGCCCTTTACTACCTGCTTGATACTCCCAGCAGCTTTGATCAATGGGGTGAAAAAGTTGCACAGTCAAGGGTTTAGAAAGCCAAATCCAGTGTTAAAACATGCCAGCAGACTGTTCATGGGAAGGGTGTGGGGGACTGTTGAGTAAAGACTCGTTATCAAGAACCTTCCTCCCACTCTACCCATCAGCTCTCTGGCAGCTTGCTTGGGTCACACAAGCTAATTCATGGGGTGAAGCTTAGTAAAGCACCTTCTTGTGATCAGGGCCATGGGGGAAGGCTACCCAGTAAAGCAAGGAGGATGCTTTACCATGCAGCCCCACCACCACTCCACGGATCAGCCTGGAGCCTTCCTATTGGGCTTTGACAGATGGCTAAATCTATAGGGGCTGGCCTTCTATTAAGACTATCCTCCTACCCCAGCTTTGACAGACAGTTTGGTGTAGGGATGAAGGCACCAGACTAGAAACCAGGAGGCTGTGAGTTCTCATCCCGCCTTAGCTGGGGGACCTTGGGCCAGTCCCTTTCTCTCTGCCCTAGGAAGAAGGAGGAGGCAAGGGCAAACCACTTCTGAAATCCTGCCAAGAAAACTGCAGGGACTAGTCCAGGCAGTTGCCAGGAGTCAACCCTGACTCTATACAAATATAACACCTGTCAATCGGGTCAGCTGTATAAATTGGCTAAATAAGTAAAATTCATTACATGCTTTATATCAGGGCACAATCATCTGATGACAAGCCAGAGCAGGGGCTGCAGAGGTAGGATAGGGATAGGCTGGGAACATAGTCTATGTTTCATGGTTTAATTTTTGGCAGGCTTAAAAACAGGTGGGAAATAGTTCAGTTAAATGGGGAAAGGACCTTGGATTCTTCAAGAACTGGAACCGGGCCCTTCTTTTCCCAACCTGTGACCCATGGACATACAAGCTTTTCAAAGAAGAGCCTTTGTGCTGTCACTTAGTTGGGTTTTACTGTCTGCTGTCCTTTATTCTTAATGCTTTAGTAACTTCATTGCCTTTTCTTTTTTAATTATTTTAATTTGCTTTTGTTGTTTTCTGGTTTTAGTTTCTTGTTAGCTTTCCAGAGTTGCAGTAGTGAGATGGGTAGTCAAACAAATAAATAAGCAGTCATGGGTGTCCAAATCCACTGGGCCTCTTAACATCTCTGCTTCTTCTTAGCACCAGGTGAATCCAAGGACTGAGTTTAAAAAGAGAAAAGTAGTCTTGGATAGCAACTGATTGGTTGGAATTGAGCAGCATAGAAGTGTTAATCAATCAATCAATCAATCAGCTATGGTAGAATCATTCCCTCTGATATTCTGACATTGGTGGAACTGGAGCTCTCTCAGCTACACAGAGCTACTAGTGCCTTGCCAACAATAAGGCTTTGCTTATATATGTGAAAACCTCTGGAATTCCTTGTCTGTGTTGGTGGTTCAGGTAAGAATTCTTAGTCAAGAAACTCTTTTGCACAATCTCTGGATGGTGAATGTGAGAAACCCAAGACTATGATCCTTTTCCTTCAGCTCATTTGGAGTTGCCAGCCAAAACAGGTTAAGGGATTGAAGTCTGGAAACCATCTGAGAACATCACTTGGTACTTCAAAGCATCAGCTTTTGCTGACCTCCTGATTTCTCCATTTGACTTCAGTACTTTAAAGACCATTTTCTCCTTGATGCAACAGAGACATGCTGTTTCTTCTCGAGAAAACTGTTAGAGAGACCAAGTCTTTGATTCCTTACCAACACCTGAAAGCCACTTCTAAGAATAAGGCTGATGCAGAGAATGTGGATTCTTAATTAGTCCCATGTTAATTAGTCCCATTTTATTAGTCCCATGTTGGGATTACTTTAATGGAACGTATGCTAAAAAGTATTATGGAACGTATGCTAAAAAGTATTATAAATAAAAAATGTGTATTACTATCCCTTATTTCTCCACCATGTAGAGATCAAAATGGTGTACAAGGGGTTGTATTTATCTGCCTTTGATGCTTTCCTGTGTGTAAAAGGATTTCTGCTGGTTTTCTAGCCAAATACTGATCTGACGGAGACCTGTGTAGCTTAGGGCATAGGAAATTGCCTTGTGTAAAATTTATGGAATTTCTGTTCTTATATATGACAATACTAGAAAGGATTTTATATGCATAAAGGTGGAAGGATATGACATCATTTTATTTTGATATATGATAACAGCAGCAAGGTTTTTAAACACATAGAGGTAGAAAGATAAAACATTATCTATAGTGGAAGAATGGTCTGTGAGGTTGATGGAGTTGGCTGAGATGGTGAAATTGATGGTTTTGACTCAAGATAAGACATGGTGTAATTTTAGTGTTAACTGGAAATATTGCGGGGGGCGGGGTTGCAGGACATAGAAAAAAGAAATTATGTTGTATGGGTCTGATGATTAGAAATAATATGTGTTAATAGAAATGATGGAAGATATGCTGTGAATTTAAAGCAAGAGTTTGATGTATATTGTTACTTATATCTGTTTTGGGGTGGGTTGGAAGTTAATTCTTCTTTTTTGTTGTTTTTATCTCTTTTTCTTTTCTGCACTTTTCCTTTTAACTATTTTCTTTTTTTCCAATTCCTTGTTTTTTTCTTTCTTAATATTAGTTTTGGTTAGTTTTTACTGTTTATGAAGATTCTCAGTCATCCAGGTGGAATTGTCTGGAGGTTGAGTCATGGCAACTGGACTTCTAAGAAGCTGCTTGGACAAGTAGCGAAACGTCTCTACCAAAAAAGAAAAGCAGTCCAATTGCCATGACTCAACCTCCAGATGTTAGTTTTTACTGTTCTTTAAAAAATATCAGTAAAGTTATTAAATAAAAAAAGGAAGTTGCCTTGTGAAGCCATCAGATGGTTGTCTTGATTTTCATCAAGCAAGTTGGATTAATAGCCTTCCTATCTGCAGGCAATGTTTTATTTTTCGTGAAATCATCTTGAGTCAAATTCAACTCAAAAGAGCCTTTACCTTTACTTGTACCACTTAATCGTCAGAGAATGACATCTACTTGGAAGACTTTAGAAGGGTGATTGGTCAAAAAGCTACTCCCAAAATAATCAGATCTGCAGAAGAGAACACAACCATGTCCTAAAAACATTAATACAGAAGTATATGCAAAGTGGTGTTCTCCAGATGGTTTAAAGTACAGCATTTATAATCTTTGATCATTAGCCAGGCCTGGAGGAGCTAATTTGATGGATTGCTTTTACAGCTTGCCTTTCCTGCAGAAGTACAAGTCCTCAAACAAAGCACCCTTTTATTTTTATCCTGACAAACAATTGGGTGCGATAAATTAGGCTGTGAGATATTCTTCTCCTTCCTTCGACATATATTTTCTTCCTTTTTCCTAGGTGTTCGGGGTGGTTATATTGCAATTTCCTTTATTTTATTCTCATAACAGCAAGTATGTGAAAGAGCAGACAGAGAGACTAGCTGGCCAAAGCACTCAGTGAGTTTCTAAAGTAGAGGCTGGATTTGACCCTTCCCACTCATAGTCCAACATCATAAACTCTACAGCACACTGGTTTATGGAAGTTAGAGTCCCAAACATTTGGTGGATATTCGGTGACCAACCTGTAGAGAGTCAGGAAGATTACCTTGATGGAGATATGCAGGATATATGTGTTGTCTAGGTAAAAGGGGCTGAAACATTTTTTAAATCCAGAATGTCCAGATAATGTTCAGAAGCAGCTTGGACACCTCCCTCATTCACTGAATTGGAAAAACAGGAGGAGCAACACCATCAGATTTGTAAGATTCTGTTATTATAGTAAATCTCAACAGAAGTAGTTATAGATATCCTGTGCAGTTGATTTCAAGGCCTGGTCTACCTAGTGGGGGTTGACACTATCCATATGTTAGTAGATGTGTTTAGAAGTGCAGCTTTATAGGACAATCCAATGCATGTTCTCAGCTTTGTATTCAGTCGGTTTATTTCATTTTAAGTATGTATACAGTTACATCTTTAATCGTTCTTATATGTTCCAAGCAATCACTTTCTATAACATTCTAGCAGATGACAATCTCTGATGCTGAATCAAATATATAAGAAGACACTAATTTCTGGTCAAACATCTAGACTGTGGGATCGGAAGCAATGCAAAGCACCAGTTCTGCCCCTGGATTCATGCTTAGGTCCAAAATTTCAGGCAACTGACCTTCCCTCAGCACCAAAAATGCATCCATCCAGCCATCCTCCTTGTTAAACACATTAAAGCTATAATAAGCCTATTTTGAGATCTACAACATTTATTTTTCGATCCTCAGAATACAGTAATGGAAAACTGCTCTCAATATTCAGCCGTTGCAGTCAGAGGGAACTCCCTCAAATAGATTTGGGGATTATAATCTTTTCATCTGAGTTAACATCTTTTTTTTACTCAGTGCTCAGAGAC